GCCTTGTGAGGCAGGTGCGCTCGTGACAAGCCTTGTGAGGCAGGTGCGCTTGTGACAAGCCTTGTGAGGCAGGTGCGCTCGTGTCAAGCCTTGTGAGGCAGGTGCGCTCGTGTCAAGCCTTGTGAGGCAGGTGCGCTCGTGACAAGCCTTGTGAGGCAGGTGCGCTCGTGACAAGCCTTGTGAGGCAGGTGCGCTCGTGACAAGCCTTGTGAGGCAGGTGCGCTCGTGTCAAGCCTTGTGAGGCAGGTGCGCTCGTGTCAAGCCTTGTGAGGCAGGTGCGCTCGTGACAAGCCTTGTGAGGCAGGTGCGCTCGTGACAAGCCTTGTGAGGCAGGTGCGCTCGTGTCAAGCCTGCCAGGCTTCTCATAAGCCCCTCTCTGGCTAGTGTGTGAACATTCTTACGCTGGAGACCTAAAAACGGAACGTCGACAAGAAAGCTCTCTATCCATGTCCAACAAATTCAAGTACTAGTAGCCTAAGTGCTCTCGCAAGGGCTGAAACGAGGAGAGAAAGGAAGGAGCAATGGGCTAAAATAGTGAGTGCTTCCATCAGCTCGTTGCCGCCTCCTTGCCTGCCCTCATCCCACAGCCTCGTCTCACCTGCCTGCCCTCATCCCACAGCCTCGTCTCACCTGCCTGCCCTCATCCCACAGCCTCGTCTCACCTGCCTGCCCTCATCCCACAGCCTCGTCTCACCTGCCTGCCCTCATCCCACAGCCTCGTCTCACCTGCCTGCCCTCATCCCACAGCCTCGTCTCACCTGCCTGCCCTCATCCCACAGCCTCGTCTCACCTGCCTGCCCTCATCCCACAGCCTCGTCTCACCTGCCTGCCCTCATCCCACAGCCTCGTCTCACCTGCCTGCCCTCATCCCACAGCCTCGTCTCACCTGCCTGCCCTCATCCCACAGCCTCGTCTCACCTGCCTGCCCTCATCCCACAGCCTCGTCTCACCTGCCTGCCCTCATCCCACAGCCTCGTCTCACCTGCCTGCCCTCATCCCACAGCCTCGTCTCACCTGCCTGCCCTCATCCCACAGCCTCGTCTCACCTGCCTGCCCTCATCCCACAGCCTCGTCTCACCTGCCTGCCCTCATCCCACAGCCTCGTCTCACCTGCCTGCCCTCATCCCACAGCCTCGTCTCCTGCACGATGTGCTGCGCCTTGCCGTCCCGGAGCAGCTGTGACTGCCGCGTGATCTCAAAGTCGATGGCACGCTGCATCTCCCGAAACGAGTTCATGTTCTTGATCTCCACCTGCCATGCCACGCCATGCCATGCCATACCATGCCACCGGGGCGGAGCAACACGCACACGGAATGAGTTTAGGTATATTGGAGTGACTTTTGAGAATTCTCAAAACTCGTCTCCAGCTGGCATCGAGAAGAACGGGCAACGGGCGGCGGGCGGCGGGCTAATTAAGCTGAATGAACGCATGTGGTGAGCGAGCGAGGGAGCGAGCAAGCAAAGTATGCAAGGGGAGCAAAGGAGCATTTGAAGTGTTCATGGCTGGCTGGCTGCAAACGAGTCCAACACGCACGCACTCGCCTTCACGGACCTGCCATGCCATATGCTCCCCAGCCCAGCCCATCACCCTCTAGCCCGTATTCTCACCTTGTTACCGAGCCTCTCTCCTTGAGGCCGAACCTCTCCCCCTTGTGCCGAACCTCTCTTCTTGGTGCGGAGGGACCTTTCACTCACCTTGGTGCCAAGGGTGGTTTGACCACGGGGCCGCACGGAGACGTTGACATCGCAGCGCATGGAACCCTCTGCCATGTTGCCGTTGCCCACTCCCACGTACCGCACCTGATGACGTGTCACCGCACCACACCGCACACACACCGACAGGGAGCACGCACGGGTGTATGGAGCATGGGTGGTTGCATCATAATACAGACTAAGAAATACAAACTGACCAGAAACAAGGGCACGTAGTAGAAGTTTATCAATGGGCAATTGCTTGGGCACAGGGGACAGGGCACAAGGCACAGCACACAGCACAGGCCACAGCACACAGCACACGCCACAGCACACAGCACACGCCACAGCACACAGCACACAGCACATCACAGCACAGCACACGCCACAGCACACAGCACACGCCACAGTACCAGTCTCTGCAGCTCGGCGGCGTATTCAGCTGCCTCTGCCCCCGAGCGCATGTCGGGCTCAGATACCACCTCCACCAGTGCCACCCCCGCCCGGTTCAGATCCACCTGCGAGATGGCACATGCAGAGATGGCACATGCAGAGATGGCACGGGCAGAGAGGGCACGGGCAGAGATGGCACGGGCAGAGATGGCACGGGCGGAGATGGCACGGGCAGAGATGGCACGGGCAGAGAGACAGGTAAAAACGTGCAAGCCACACTGGCAGCGACAGCAAGCATGGGCTGTGCTGCCATGCCTGGTACACCTCACCTCACCTCACCTCACCTCACCTCACCTCACCTCACCTCACCTCACCTCACCACCATCCCATCCCACGTGTCACCACCCCCAAGCAGCGCCTCACCTGGCTGCCATCCCCCCCATGCAGCGACTTCCCGGCATCTTCCTCCAGATGGGCGCGCGTGACTCCAAAGCGCCGCCGCCCGCCACCCGCCTCGAGGGGCATGTCCACGTCCACATGGCCGCGCGCTGCCAGGGGCTCGTCAAACTGCGATATCTGCCGCAGCACGGGGGGCGAGGGTGGCAGGGGGAATGGTTTGAGGCGCCTCAGAACTAGACGCCTCGAGGGGCATGCCCACGTCACGTCCACAGGGCCGCGCGCTGCCAGGAGCGCAGCGCAGTGCAGCGTAGCAAACTGTGATATCTGCCGCAGCGCAGCGCAGCGCAGCACGGGGGGAGAGGGTGGCAGGGGGCGTGGTGGTGGCATTGAGAGAATGGGGGGGAGGGGAGGATGATTGGCATGGCATGGGAATGGAGAAGGAAATGTCTCGACATGCCCGCCCCGCCTGCCTGCACTCTCAGCACTGTGCTCTCTGCTCAACCCTGCCCCACATTCTCCTGCGCCTCTCGTGTGCCACTACATGCCACGTGCTAGCCCTACAACGCACCTAGCATGGGGCTCTTGGGGAGGCAGAGCGGCACCTGATAGCCCCTTCACCTGGTAGCCCTTCACCTGATAGCCCTTCACCTGATAGCCCTTCACCTGGTAGCCCTTCACCTGATAGCCCTTCACCTGGTAGCCCTTCACCTGGTAGCCCTTCACCTGATAGCCCTTCACCTGGTAGCCCTTCACCTGGTAGCCCTTCACCTGGTAGCCCTTCACCTGGTATCCCTTGGGCAAGTCGGGGTAGAAGTACTGCTTGCGGTCGAACTTGCTCGTCAGCGCCACGCGGCACTGCAGCGCCAGTGCCAGCCGCACAGCCGCGTCCACCACGCGCGCGTTCAGCACGGGCAGCGCGCCAGGCTGCCCCATGCACGTGGGGCACACGTGCTCGTTGGGCACCGCGCCGTACTGCGCCGCGCACCTGCAGAACGCCTGCCGGCGGGCGGCGGATCGAGGGGCGGAGCGCGGGGCGGGAGAATGGGCGGGACTGAGTGGCGGGAGTGTTGCCTCGGCGGGGGGAAGAGGCGCATATGTGGTGCGCAAGGAGGCGTGGAGGGCACGGAATGGGATGGCGGCGAGCGCCGGTGGCAGTAGGCGTGGGGCTGCGCGGCTGCTGGCTTAAACAGTTCCCCACCCCAGCAGCGCGCCCCACTGATCCGCTGCGCCTTGCCCGACGCGCCACGCACCTTGGTCGCCGTGTTCAGCTGCACGTGCGTTTCGATGCCGATCACCGCCTCAAACTCCCCCTCACCGCGCGCCGAGCCTTCCGCCGTCAGCCCCTCTGCCACCGACACCGCGTGCGCGCGAGCTCTCCCCATATTGGGGCGCTGCGCCCTCGCCACGGCCCTCGACGAGCTGGACGGCGCGGCCGCCGTGCGCGCGTCGACGCGCGAAAGGTGGGCCGCGCGCGCCGACGACGGGCAGCATGGAAGGGCGACCGCGCCGCAACGGACGGCCGGAGCGGCTGCCGCGGACGCGGAATGCCGCGCAGATAGCGACAAGAGAGACATTGCCGCACCTGTTACACACGTGGCAGACGGCATTCGAAATGCGACTTTCCGCGTGGATGGAGAAAACACGGCGCAGGCTTCCAGCGCGCGGAGAATAGCGAGTGAAGGACGCGGAAAACCGCGGGCGAGCATGGAGGGCGGAGGGGATTAGGGGCGAGACTGGGAATGGCGATGAAGGGGGAGATTGAGTGGGCGGAGATGCTGTGCATGTAAAATCCCCGTTATAGAGACCTCATACATTTTTACTGCTAAAAAGAGGCTCACTTAACAAAATTCCCCTTCCGTGGAAGTGGTTAAGAATGTATATTTTAGAGCAAGAGGTTAATGATAGTGTTCTTGGTTTCTAGCGAAGTTGTTATTGAAGAACCGCACAAATTCGTACCTCAGATCAGGAAAGGTAAGTACGGTCCAAACCTGAATAACCTGATTCTGATTGGTCAGGGCGGGAACAGTATCTGCGCGCGAAAACTCTGTCACGCGAAGTACGCCAAATTGTTTTGGCTTGGGATGAAGCAGCCTGACGACACCTCCTCTAGGAGACTCACGAAGCGCGAAACCTAGCGCCTAGCAGTGCAATCATCGAAGCCAGTTTCCGAGCAGCCTCATAGCGCAGCAGCCTGAGGAAGCAATTTTGGCAGTGCGAACCTAGCAGCAAAAATTGATTTTTTTCTACGGCGCTTTCCGCCACTCCTAGCAGCGCATTTGGAAAACGTAGATTTTACCAGTTCATCAGCTACTTGACACGTTTCTCAGAACGACTTGGTGAAGCGATGGATGGACTTTATCGTAAATGACGCTATTTTGTTATGAGGAGCCTCCTAGCGACTCGGTAGTGTTCTCGACTTCGGGGTTGCGTAATGATCTCGAAACCAGAGTAAAGTAGTGCTGACCAATTCGAGATACGAGTTGCTTTTGAGCTCGAAAGTAGCGATTCGAGCGTGAATGGCGCTGACGGTGGATGACGCGATCGCGACGCTGTTCACGCTGACTCAGCATGACGAGCAGCCGGGCGTGCAGGGTCTCACATCCACCATGGTGTACGACGCATCGTACAGGACGTCGTACACAGGTAACTGTGTCGTTCAGCATGTCGTACAGGACGTCGTACACAGGTAGCCACAGCAAGCCGTATCATGTCATGCAGCAAGTTGTACGCAGGTAACCATGTCGCCACTCCTTTTACCCCATTCATTCATCCCGCGTCCGTTACCCTCCTTTTCCCCCCTGTCGTCACACCCCCGCCTCACGCCACCCGCTCCTTCTGTCCGCCCTGGCTGTCCAGAGCACTCCGAGGTGGCTGCGTGCTAGCTGTCCCTTCCAGCTGTCCGTTCCAGCTGTCCCTTCCAGCTGTCCCTTCCAGCTGTCCCTTCCAGCTGTCCCTTCCAGCTGTCCCTTTCCCCTGCTTTTCACCCCAACCCTCCCCTCCCTCCAGAGTATGCCGAGGTGGCGGCCGGCCTGCTAGCCGTACCTTGCAGCTGTCCCTCTTTTCCACCCCCTTCTCCCCTCTTTTCCACCCCCTTTTCTCCTCTTTTCCACCCCCTTCTACCCTCTTTTCCACCCCCTTCTCCCCTCTTTTTCACCCCCTTCGTCTTCATGCCATGGTCACCCAAACCCCCCCTCCCCCTCCCCCTCCCCCTCCCCCTCCCCCCTTCCTCCAGAGTACGCGGAGGTGGCGGCCTTCCAGCTGTCCCTGGAGGACGACACTGCCGCCATCAACCAACTGGTGAGGGGGATAGATGAGAAGGGGAGCGAGAGAGAGCAGGAAGGGGATGGAGGGGAGGGGAGAGATTGGGGGGAAGGGAGGGAGGGAAGAGAGGGGATGGAGGGGAGAGAGGGGAGGGAGGGGAGAGAGGGAAGAAAGGGGAGGGAGGAAAGGGATGGGATGGAGGGGAGGGAGAGGAAGGAGGGGTGAATGGAAAGGGAAAATAACGCATCCTGATTGGTGGAGGGTTGTAGCCATCAGTGGGACGGGTGAGTGGGGAATGCGCGGCAGAGCCGCAAGGAGAGGGATGAGCGAATTAGGTAGACTAAAACCGGCGGCATAGCCGTGTGGGAGGTGGACTAACCGCTGCAGCAGCCACCAAATCACTGCGATTTTGAAATGCGCTGGTCCGGACTCTGGAGTGAGTGCATGCCAACAGGCAGGGAACCATGAATCTTTGTAAGATTCTCGTTTTTTGTGGTCCTCTGTCTGCATGCACCCTCTCTTTTATCCCTCTGTCTGCATGCACCCTCTCTTTTATCCCTCTGTCTGCATGCACCCTCTCTTTTATCCCTCTGTCTGCATGCACCCTCTCTTTTATCCCTCTGTCTGCATGCACCCTCTCTTTTATCCCTCTGTCTGCATGCACCCTCTCTTTTATCCCTCTGTCTGCATGCACCCTCTCTTTTATCCCTCTGTCTGCATGCACCCTCTCTTTTATCCCTCTGTCTGCATGCACCCTCTCTTTTATCCCTCTGTCTGCATGCACCCTCTCTTTTATCCCTCTGTCTGCATGCACCCTCTCTTTTATCCCTCTGTCTGCATGCACCCTCTCTTTTATCCCTCTGTCTGCATGCACCCTCTCTTTTATCCCTCTGTCTGCATGCACCCTCTCTTTTATCCCTCTGTCTGCATGCACCCTCTCTTTTATCCCTCTGTCTGCATGCACCCTCTCTTTTATCCCTCTGTCTGCATGCACCCTCTCTTTTATCCCTCTGTCTGCATGCACCCTCTCTTTTATCCCTCTGTCTGCATGCACCCTCTCTTTTATCCCTCTGTCTGCATGCACCCTCTCTTTTATCCCTCTGTCTGCATGCACCCTCTCTTTTATCCCTCTGTCCCGTCCCACTCTCTGCATTCCACCGGCTTCTATCTCTCTTCCCCTCCCGAACACCCATCATCCATTCTTCGCATGTGCGCATGAATGACTCCCATCATTTGCCATCACTGCAGGAAGCCCTATTGGCAGATGGCAAGGACATGCTTGCATCGCTCTACACCTACCGCAGCGTCTCCGAGTCCTTTCCTCAGGTAGTTTTTTCAGGCGCCTCAAAAGACATGCTCGCATGGCTCCACACCTACCGCAGCATCTCCAAGTCCTTTCCCGAGGTAGTACAGTACTGCGTGGCCATTGATTCAAGGGAGTGAATCAGGCTCCTAGCTGCCAGCAGGACGCACGTCTAGTGTGCGTTGGCCTGGCCTGCCTTAGCATCGCTCTACACTATGACTACCGCAGCGTTACTAAGGCCTTTGATGACGCAGGGCGCCTCTCAGGTTTGCACAGGCAGGCAGCTGGAGAGAGGGGTAGCAGAGCATAGGAATCTTCCTCTTTCGCTTGAAGGAATCGTACCGTCTGTAAGAGCACTACAAACACCCTTCATTGCTAATCGTGAACCCTCTCCCCGTCGCTCATCTCTCCCTTGCCTGTTTTTCTGTCACCCACTGCCTCCCTGCAGTCAGTGCAAGCTCTGGACGAGAATGCAGAGCCGGGTCTGCTGCAGGAGGCCTTTGCGCTTGTAGATGTGGATATGACTTTTGAGTCGACTCAGTCACTCAGATGTCACCTTGCTCTTTCTCTCTTCCCTGTCTTGCTGCCACCCGCTGCCTCCCTGCAGTCAGTGCAAGCTCTGGACGAGAACGCAGAGCCGGGTCTGCTACAGGAGGCGTTTGCGATCGTAGATGTGGAGATCCAACGGCTGAGAAACATTCATCAGTGGCAGATGCGAGCACGGTCGTTGATTGCTGCAGACCTGCAGCGATTCTCAGGGGAGATGACCGGTCCCACCCTCACACACCTGTGGTGAGTCATGCAGGGGGACGCAGCGGGGCATGTGTCACCTGGTGAGTCACACGGTGTTGAGTCACACGGTGTTGAGTCACCCGCCTGGGTGGGTCACGCAGACAGGCCAAGCAGAGAAGCAGACAGCAAGGCCTGTCTGCTTATCTGCTTGCTCTCTCATCCTTTCTCAGCAGCAGCTGCTTCAAGTGCGCTGTTGGGTTTCTGGATGATCTCGCCCTCGTCTGTGCCTGCCTGTTTTTTCTTCCGCTGTGCACTGCACTGCACTCGACCGCACTACACCGCACAGCATCCTGTTGAGAGTGTTGGACACGTGTCTGCTGATGGACCTGCTCAAAAACACCAAGGCAGCGCCACTCTCTGACCTTCGAATTGACTCAAAGGCACTGTGCTTGACACACATTCCACCTCACTCCACCGCATTCCACCCCATTCTGTCTCACAGGAGTTTGCTGAGAGTGCTGGACACGTGTCTGCTGCTGGACCTGCTGAAGCACACCAAGGCAGCGCCGCTCTCTGATCTGCTCTGGTTCAGGCGGTGAGAACCCATGCCTTGCCTGCCTTGCTTTCCTTCAATCCCATGCCTTGCATGCCATGCCTCCCTCCCCCTTGCTTTCTATACGTGCAAGGCCTTCCATGCCTTGAAAGCCATGCCTGCCTCACTTCCGCTCCTCCACTGCTCCCTCCCCTCGTTCCTGCATTCGCTTCCAAGCTTCTAACTCATTCAAGTCTCTGTCATCTAAACCTGAAGACTTCTTTTGAGGCGCCTCAAAAAACTCATTCAGGTCTCTGTCATCTAAACCGGAAGACTTCTCCCCGTTTCCTGCATCCCCTTCCACCCTTCTCTCCCTTTCCTGCATCTCCTTCCACTCTTCTCCCCCTTTCCTGCATCTCCTTCCACCCTTCTCCCCATCTTCCCTCTTCCCCCTTGCTGTTTTCTGCACTTACCTGGCCGCCTGACACCAGAGCGGTGCAGAGTGGTCGAGTCAATGCGGAGAGCGGTTCTGACACTGACAGCGACCTGGAGGTACGCCAATGGCAGGCGGTTGATGTTGCGTCTCGGATAAACGTTCATCGTATCTTAGTATGCGTGTGCTTTTCGCCCTTTGAGGAGACATGCTGGTGCAGGTGCAGACAAAGCAGGTGTATAAGCTAAACCAACATACTGTAGTAATGCATGCACATGCCAACAGCGTTTTCCACAGCATTCAGGGCTAGCCACACGTATTTCACAGCATTCACAGCATTCAGGGCTAGCCACACGTATTTCACAGCATTCACAGCATTCAGGGCTAGCCACACGTATTTCACAGCATTCACAGCATTCAGGGCTAGCCACACGTATTTCACAGCATTCACAGCGTTCAGGGCTAGCCACACGTATTTCACAGCATTCACAGCATTCAGGGCTAGCCACACGTATTTCACAGCATTCACAGCATTCAGGGCTAGCCACACGTATTTCTGGGGCGTTTCAAACCATTTTGTAACTAACATCAGCACTGAAGCTGTTTGTTGTTGAGAAAGTCGTTTTCAGCACACATCATCACCCACACACCCACACACTAACGCTGTTCACAACAAACAGCTTTAGTGTGCCCATTGCCTATCCACGTCCTTCTGCCCCCACCCACCTTCGCGTCCACTGATCTGTCGCTGAATCCCCACAAACAATCTGGCCTGTCAATCCCGACCAACACAACTCTCCGTTCCACGTCTCTCCTCGCCAACGCCAGGAGTTCTGGAGCAAGCGCTGGGCCGTCCTTTCCAGCCTGCAGGCCGGCATTCCGGGCAACGAAACGTACGTGCTGGGAGTGCAGTGCAGTGCCATCCAGTCTGATCCAGTTCGATCCAGTCCAGCCCAGTCCGTTCCAGTCCAGTTCAGTCCAGTCCAGTCCAGTCCAGTCCAGTCCAGTCCAGTCCAGTCCAGTCCAGTCCAGTCCAGTCCAGTCCGGTCTGGTCCAGTTCGGTCTGACCTGGTCTGGTCCAACGGATCCGGCCCAGCCCGGTTCGGCCCAACTAGAACCCGTCGAGGTCTAGTTATGCAAATTAGTTCATTTTCTTCTTGTCGGACTAATTACATGCATTTTTTGTTTTTTATATAATCCGCACAACCCTGCTCAGATTGCAACATCCTACCCTCTCTCATCCACGCGCCCACTCTCTCTCCGCCCTCTCGCCACTGACCACCCGTCCCCATTCCTCCCCCATTCCAGTGTGGAGGAGTTCTTTGTGCAGCTGATGGTGGTGGCCACGGGCACCATAGAGAGCAGTCGATAGCACACTGATAAGCTGTTCCTTTCCCTTACCACTCTTCGATCCTTCTACACCTGCGATCTTGTGTTTTCATGGCCCCATTCCAGTGTGGAGGAGTTCTTTGTGCAGCTGATGGTGGTGGCCACGGGCACCATAGAGAGCGGCCGCACTCTGCTGTTCGCAGATCGTCTCATGCTGCTGCGTGTGCTGCCGGTGCTCATATCGCTCGCTGCCCGCACCGAGGCCGAGGCAGACACGCTGTTCCGCCGGAGAGTGAAGCTCGACCGCCTTCTCAGACTCTTCAAGGTGGGTGGGTGGGTGCATGTGAGTGCATGCGTGCGTGCGTGCGTGCGCGCAAGCGCGCGCGCGTGTGTGTGTGTGTGTGTGTGTGTGTGTGTGTGTGTGTGTCTGCTTCTTTGTTTTGGAGCGACTCAACACTTGCTGCCATCTCAACTTATATTCCTGCCATGCTCTACACACCAACTCATTCTCTTTCTGCCATGCCTTGACATCGCTACTTCCTTCGCTCCTGCTCGCTGCATTTTCTTCTCGTATCTCCTCTTTCGCTTCCCATCACACACCTCTCCAGCGTGAACCCCTAGGGCAGGCTACAAGGAGGTACCCTTCGCCCTCGCGTCGCTGCTTGCCTACATGCTATGCAATGCCATGCTCCCATCACGCAGCCCTCTTTCACCACCCATCCCTCCCTTTCCGCCCATCACACATCTCTCCAGCGTGAGCCCCTAGTGGCAGGCTACAAGGATGTACCCTTCGCTCTGCTTGCTTACATGCCATGCTATGCAATGCTTTAATCACGCATCACTCTCTTTCTCTTCCCATCACACACCTCTCCAGCGTGAACCCCTAGTGGCGGGCTACAAGGAGGTACCATTCGCCCTCGCGTCTCTCCTGCCAGACCTCTCGCCCTTCTTCCGCAAGCTGTGTGTTGAGAAGGGCGTGCTGCTGCCCGTGCCCAGCAACATGGACGCTAAGGAAGGTGCGAAGGGAGGGGTGCAATGTGGTGCAGAGGGATTGCTGTCATCACTGCTATCTCATTGCAAGCTGTGTGTTGAGAAGGGCGTGCTGCTGCCCGTGCCCAGCAACATGGACGCTAAGGAAGGTGGGTGAGAGGAGGACGAGAGGAGAGAGATAGCGATGTGATGTGGTGGTGGAGACGGGCGGTGACATGCATGCAGAAGCAGTTTCTTCTGCAGCAGAAGCAGTTCGTTTGCAGCTCCAGAAGACAGGCTGAGCGAGCGTGAAGTGGTGGGCGAGAATAGCGGTGAAGAGGAAAAAGAGGATGAGGGCACGAAGGAGTGCTGTGGCAGCGGCCAAGTTGGGCAGACGAGCAGAGATCCCCAAAGGCCAGCAAACTCCTATGGCGCCACTGGATCCTAAACCTTTGGGGATCCCAGCTCGGCTGCCCAACTTGACCGCTGCCGCAGCACTCCTTTGTGCTCTCGTCTTTTCCCTCCTCTTCACCGCCATTCTTGCCCAACACTTCACACTCGCTCAGCCTATCTTCTGAAGCTGCAAACGAAATTGCTTCCGCTGCCGGTTTCGAGTGACATGCACCCATGCGGCCAAGGAGAGCAAGGAGGAAAACGACAGAGCCTATTGTAAAGTCCTTCATGCAGCCTTGCAAAGTTGATTGCGTCAGTGCCTTGCCTCGAACGTTTGGCCTGACCTGCTGCTGCAGATGCAAGCAATCGCTCTGGCTCAATTCTCGATCATCCTTTCTCATCACCTTCCCCACCCTCACCGTCTCTTTGGCTGCTGTGTCTCGAGTGTACGACCTGCTGCCGCAGATGCCAGCCATTCCCAAATCACACGAATCCCCACGAACCTTCCCCCCTCTTTCCCTCTTAGCTTCATCCTCTCCTTAATTCCTCCCTCCCTGCCCTTAGTGTCACGAGTGCACGACCTGCTGCCCCAGATGCCAGTCATCGCCAAGGCTCACGAGGAGCTCTGCCCTCCCTCCCTTCAACCACCCAAATTGCCTCATGGAGCAATCCTCTCTCCTCCTTTCTCCCCATCCACCCCTCCTCTCCTTTCCTGCAGTGTCGCGAGTGTATGACCTGCTGCCTCAGATGCCTGCTATTGCCAAGGCTCACGAGGAGCTCTGCCTGCGCTTTACTGCCGCCATGAACAAGGTACGGTGGGTTGCAGTGCGGTGAAGTGTGGTACAATCGCCGGCCATAGGCAAGACACACGAGGAGCTGTGCCTGCTATTCACCGTTGGCACGAATAAGGTGCATGCGCTAGGGTTCTATAGTGAAGTGTGGTGCAGCATGGTGAAGTGTGGTTTAGACGCCCCCCCCCTGCCAGGCATATACGAGTAGAGTAGCTCTGCCTCCTGATATATGGCATGGTGTGATCGCCAGGTTGTTGCTCGCTGAGCATGGTACTGTAGGTTGGGTGAGAGCATGGTACCATGCTATGCTGCCGCGTAAGAGGCACAGCGTGGAGGTGTACCGCGTGCTGCTGGAGGGGCTGCTGCTGCTGTCCCTCTAACCCCCATCCACCCCTTCCCAATTCCACCCACGCCCGGCTGACAGTGATGAAGCATGTGTGGGTGAAGTCGCTGTCGCTCCAGGCGAAGGAAGGTGTAATGTAATGTGTGCTGCAGGAGGGGGCCAATCTTACAGTGCTGAATGTGCATTCTGTATAAACCCCATTCAACCCACCCCATCCCATCTCCCCCTCCACGTACCCAGCTGACAGTGATGAAGCATGCAAGGGTCAAGTCTCGGTCACCACAAGCCAAGGAGGTGCGGGTGGAGGTGTACCGCATGCTGCTGGAGGGGCTGCTGCTGCTCTCAACTTGCATTCCCTTCCCTGTAACCCCCACCCCACCCACCCAAAACCCACACGTGCACAGCTGACAGTAATGAAGCATGCGCGGGTGAAATCGCGCTCCCCCCAGGCGAAGGAGGTGCGGGTGGAGGTGTACCGAGTGCTGCTGGAGGGGCTTACAGCGCTGTGCTCCCTTTAACCCCCATCTGACCCCTCCCGATTACCCACACACCCAGTTGACGGTCATGAAGCATGCAAGAGTCAAGTCTCGTTCACCACAAGCGAAGGAGGTGCGGGTGGAGGTGTACCGAGTGCTGCTGGAGGGGCTGCTGCTGCTCTCCCGCTGGTCCGGCCGCCTGCTGCAACACTTCGCCTGGAAGACCCACCTTGCTGCTTCCTCCCACACTGTTGCTCCTCCCCCTGCCAGCACTAACTCTCCTGCTGCTGCTGGTGCCTCAAACGCTGCTGGTGTGGCTGGTGGTTTTGCTGCTGCTGACGCTGCAAGCACCGAGGCAGCAGCAAGGGAAAGTGAGAGCCCAGCAGCGGACGGAGGGCCGAGGAGGCTTCATCAGCTCTTTGCTGAGGCAGCTGGGCTCCCGCCTTCACCATCCCCATCACCACCCGTAGTTGGGAGTGCTGCGGGTGCTGGTGGAGCCGCTGGTGTTGGGGGTGTGGGCCCAGGCGGAGGCAAAGGGAAGCAGAACCTGAGTGCATACGAGCAGGTGAGGCCAGGTGGCGTGAAGGGTGGGTTTGGGCGGTTGCAAAGGGAAGCAGAACGCTGACTGCAGATGAGCAGGTGAGGCTGTACTCGCCTTCCCCTCTTACCTGTCATGGTATAACTCGCTCTCTGCACACCCTCTTTCCTCTTCCTCCTATGCCTCTTCTTCTCTACATTCGCTTTTTTTGGACGGTCCGTCTTCATATTCGCCGTTCTCACGTTAGACTAGAGCTTGACCTGCCTTTTCTACCAATTTCCCGTGTCCCCGCCCGATGCTCTCTCTTGCCCCCCGCTGTCTTTGAGCAGATGGTGCAGCATGGTTTCTCACAGGCAGAGCTGCAAGCTGTGTTACAGGTGTGTATTGGTGCTGGGTTTTTGGCTGTTGTTGCGAATGTTGAGGCGGTTTCTGCTGTGTGTGTGGGTGTGTGTAGTGTATCTCTGTGTGCGTTGGGTTTTTCTTTTGTATGTTTTGACTCTCGCATCTCTAAGCCTCTTTTATTTCCATTCTCATACGGTAATATGCTTATCCGTCCTCCCTTGCTCCATATTGCGCTTTCCTATTTACTATTCACCTCCTCAACTGTCCCTTTTTTCTTGCCCTTCTCCCTGGTATTAAAAAATGCAGATATATCAGTCGATGAAATTCTTTCTTCTCCTCCTCCCCTCCCGCCCCACTCAGTTGATCTGATCTCCTCATATCCTCCATCTCACCTCTCCCTTGTCCAGCTGATTGCATACATAAAGGGCGTGGCGGCCATGATGACAGCAGTGGAGGGGGACATTGCATGGGTGCTGCGGGAGGCCATCCACGCGGACGTGCAGGAGTTTGCACGCGTGTATGTGGCCTCTCTGCTCAAGCGTGTCTCCTCTTCCAACATGGACTCACCCTACGCGAGGTAGGTTATGCTGTCATAGTGTGTTAGTATGTATGCACCACGAGAAGCCATCCACGGGCAGGAGTTTGCACACGTGTATGTGGCCTCGCTGCTCAAGAGGGTTTCTTCCTCCAACATGGATTCACCTTATGCCAGGTAGGTTAGGTATTCACAGTGTGGCCGTATATCCAGGTGACTTTTGAGTCGACTCAAAAGTCACCAGGTAGGTTAGGCATTCACAGTGTGGCCGTATATCCAGGTGACTTTTGAGTCGACTCAAAAGTCACCAGGTAGGTTAGGCATTCACAGTGTGGCCGTATATCCAGGTGACTTTTGAGTCGACTCAAAAGTCACCAGGTAGGTTAGGCATTCACAGTGTGGCCGTATATCCAGGTGACTTTTGAGTCGACTCAAAAGTCACCAGGTAGGTTAGGCATTCACAGTGTGGCCGTATATCCAGGTGACTTTTGAGTCGACTCAAAAGTCACCAGGTAGGTTAGGCATTCACAGTGTGGCCGTATATCCAGGTGACTTTTGAGTCGACTCAAAAGTCACCAGGTAGGTTAGGCATTCACAGTGTGGCCGTATATCCAGGTGACTTTTGAGTCGACTCAAAAGTCACCAGGTAGGTTAGGCATTCACAGTGTGGCCGTATATCCAGGTGACTTTTGAGTCGACTCAAAAGTCACCAGGTAGGTTAGGCATTCACAGTGTGGCCGTATATCCAGGTGACTTTTGAGTCGACTCAAAAGTCACCAGGTAGGTTAGGCATTCACAGTGTGGCCGTATATCCAGGTGACTTTTGATTGAGTCGACTCAAAAGTCACCAGGTAGGTTAGGCATTCACAGTGTGGCCGTATATCCAGGTGACTTTTGATTGAGTCGACTCAAAAGTCACCAGGTAGGTTAGGCATTCACAGTGTGGCCGTATATCCAGGTGACTTTTGATTGAGTCGACTCAAAAGTCACCAGGTAGGTTAGGCATTCACAGTGTGGCCGTATATCCAGGTGACTTTTGATTGAGTCGACTCAAAAGTCACCAGGTAGGTTAGGCATTCACAGTGTGGCCGTATATCCAGGTGACTTTTGAGTCGACTCAAAAGTCACCAGGTAGGTTAGGCATTCACAGTGTGGCCGTATATCCAGGTGACTTTTGAGTCGACTCAAAAGTCACCAGGTAGGTTAGGCATTCATAGTGTGGCCGTATATCCAGGTGACTTTTGAGTCGACTCAAAAGTCACCAGGTAGGTTAGGCATTCACAGTGTGGCCGTATATCCAGGTGACTTTTGAGTCGACTCAAAAGTCACCAGGTAGGTTAGGCATTCACAGTGTGGCCGTATATCCAGGTGACTTTTGATTGAGTCGACTCAAAAGTCACCAGGTAGGTTAGGCATTCACAGTGTGGCCGTATATCCAGGTGACTTTTGATTGAGTCGACTCAAAAGTCACCAGGTAGGTTAGGCATTCACAGTGTGGCCGTATATCCAGGTGACTTTTGATTGAGTCGACTCAAAAGTCACCAGGTAGGTTAGGCATTCACAGTGTGGCCGTATATCCAGGTGACTTTTGAGTCGACTCAAAAGTCACCAGGTAGGTTAGGCATTCACAGTGTGGCCGTATATCCAGGTGACTTTTGAGTCGACTCAAAAGTCACCAGGTAGGTTAGGCATTCACAGTGTGGCCGTATGCACCACGAGAAGCCATCCATGCAGACGTGCAGGAGTTTGCACGCGTGCATGTGTTCTCGCTGCTCAAGCGGGTATCCTCCTCCAATATGGACTCGCCCTACACCAGGTAGGGAGTGAGAGTATGGCCACATGCATGCAGCACCAGAGGCCTCATGGAGTGTGCACGCGTTTATGTAGCCTCGTTGCTCATGCGCGTATCCTTCTCCAACGTGTTTTTACCCGATGCCATGGGTGACATGCCAGGCAGTGATAATATGGACAACTGTTCACTATATATTATATGTGTGCTGCTATGCTGTTGAATTTACTACTCTTTTTGTAACTTCCATTCCACCCGAGATGTTTCCTTCCTGCGTGTCTTTTCTCTCCATCATGCATACCTCCCTCTGTGCTGTGTGTGTTCTGGTATGCATACCAGCAGCACAGCAGTGCAATGCGGTGCGCTATGTTGTGCTCCTCCGCGTTGCTGCGCGGCAGGTCACTACTGAGGATCACGGCAGTGGTGGCAGACTGGGCGGGGATACCCGAGGAGGAGGCGCTGGAGGTGATGGCGAGGAGCCACAGGTGGCACCTCATCAAGCGTCTTACCCTGCCGCACCCCATCAAGCGTCTTACCCTGCCGCACCCCATCCCGCCCTCCCTCTGTGTGTTGCCTCTTGCTGCTGCAGGACGTTGCTGAGGATCCGCGCAGTGGCGGCGGACTGGGCGGGGATTCCGGAGGAGGAGGCACTGTCAATGAGGACGCTCCTCATGTTCTATGCTATGCTCTATCTTGTGCTCCTCCTCCTTGCTGCTCCGCTGCAGGACGTTGCTGAGGATCCGCGCAGTGGCGGCGGACTGGGCGGGGATTCCGGAGAAGGAGGCACTGTCAATGAGGACCCTCCTCATGTTCTATGCTATGCTCTATCTTGTGCTCCTCCTCCTTGCTGCTCCGCTGCAGGACGTTGCTGAGGATCCACGCAGTGGCGGCGGACTGGGCGGGGATTCCGGAGGAGGAGGCACTGTCAATGAGGACGCTCCTCATGTTCTATGCTATGCTCTATCTTGTGCTCCTCCTCCTTGCTGCTCCGCTGCAGGACGTTGCTGAGGATCCACGCAGTGGCGGCGGACTGGGCGGGGATTCCGGAGAAGGAGGCACTGTCAATGAGGACCCTCCTCATGTTCTATGCTATGCTCTATCTTGTGCTCCTCCTCCTTGCTGCTCCGCTGCAGGACGTTGCTGAGGATCCACGCAGTGGCGGCGGACTGGGCGGGGATTCCGGAGGAGGAGGCACTGTCAATGAGGACGCTCCTCATGTTCTATGCTATGCTCTATCTTGTGCTCCTCCTCCTTGCTGCTCCGCTGCAGGACGTTGCTGAGGATCCGCGCAGTGGCGGCGGACTGGGCGGGGATTCCGGAGGAGGAGGCGCTGGAGGTTGTGGTGAAGAGCAGGAAGGGGCACCCCGTGAATGAGGACGACCTCAAGCGGCTTGCCTTGCCGCGCCCCACCCCGCCTTCCCTCGCCCAGGTGAGTCACATGTACAGGCTGACAGTCACTGGTCGGTCACAGGCTCACTGGTCAGTCTGTCAGTGGCTCGTGCTTGCATGCTAGCAGGTGGAGGTGGTGGGGAAGAGCCGAAAAGGCCATCCTGTGAGATTCACTTAGTGTGAATGAGGACGACCTTAAGAGGCTCCCACCGCCGCGCCCCACCCCGCCTTCCCTCGCCCAGGTGAGTCTTTCCCAGGTTGTCTTAATTCCTGTGTGGCTTTAAGCGCATTTTGAACGCCTGCGGCTCTTCTTCCCCTGGCCTCCTGCTCTTCTTCCCCTGGCCTCCTGCTCTTCTTCCCCTGGCCTCCTGCTCTTCTTCCCCTGGCCTCCTGCTCTTCTTCCCCTGGCCTCCTGCTCTTCTTCCCCTGGCCTCCTGCTCTTCTTCCCCTGGCCTCCTGCTCTTCTTCCCCTGGCCTCCTGCTCTTCTTCCCCTGGCCTCCTGCTCTTCTTCCCCTGGCCTCCTGCTCTTCTTCCCCTGGCCTCCTGCTCTTCTTCCCCTGGCCTCCTGCTCTTCTTCCCCTGGCCTCCTGCTCTTCTTCCCCTGGCCTCCTGCTCTTCTTCCCCTGGCCTCCTGCTCTTCTTCCCCTGGCCTCCTGCTCTTCTTCCCCTGGCCTCCTGCTCTTCTTCCCCTGGCCTCCTGCTCTTCTTCCCCTCCTGCTCTTCCCCTGGCCTCCTGCTCTTCTTCCCCTGGCCTCCTGCTCTTCTTCCCCTGGCCTCCTGCTCTTCTTCCCCTGGCCTCCTGCTCTTCTTCCCCTGGCCTCCTGCTCTTCTTCCCCTGGCCTCCTGCTCTTCTTCCCCTGGCCTCCTGCTCTTCTTCCCCTGGCCTCCTGCTCTTCTTCCCCGCCTCCTGCTCTTCTTCCCCGCCTCCTGCTCTTCTTCCCCGCCTCCTGCTCTTCTTCCCCGCCTCCTGCTCTTCTTCCCCGCCTGCGGCTCTTCTTCCCCTGGCCTCCTGCTCTTCTTCCCCTGGCCTCCTGCCCTGCAGAGTTCAGAAGCTGGTGCCGGCATTGCTGGTTGGTTGGAGCAGGCACCGGGGTGAAAGAGCGGCTCTCCTAGATGCTTGACTTGAACCATCACACAGCCACCTATTATAAGCTCCTTGCTACTCTCGGCCTTTCTGTTCTCGCGCAGATCCTCTGTCTGGTGCAGGCGCTGGTGATCGGAGCAAGTGCCGGAGTGAAAGGATGGCAAAGGCACCATCATCACAGCCTATCCCTTGTGCTTCCCTTGTGCTTCCATTGCTTCCCCTCCTTCCTTCATCTCTTCCCTCCCTTCCCCTGCAGATTCACTGTCTGCAGCATCTGGTGCAGGCGCTGGTGATCGGAGCAAGCGCGGGAGTGAAAGATGTGTTATTTTTTCTAGACGGTTGGCCATTCCCTTCAGCTTCTTTTCCTTCCCCTCCTTCTTTCCTTCACTTCCTACCTCCCTTCCCTGCAGATTCACTGCCTACAGCACTTGGTGCAGGCGCTGGTGATCGGGGCAAGCGCGGGAGTGAAAGGGGGTTTTTTCGGTCCAGAGAAGAGCAAGCAGGGGGGCAAGGAGGAGGGGGGGAAGAGTCGCAGCAAGGGCAGAGACAGGGAGGTGTCAGCCAGTGAAATCAAGGAGTTGGATAACTTCTTGCAGCGCCTGCTCTTCTTCCCACACTTGCTTGATTACCCAAGTACGTTGGTTGGTTGGCTTACTAGCCTTGCAACATGTGGCATCCGTGGGTTTTGAGGTGTCTCAAGTAAGGAGGGACAGGGAGGTATCATCTCCTCGACTACCCAAGTATGCAATCCTTGCAACAGGTATGTGGTTCTGAGGCGTCTCAAGAGGGACAGGGAGGTATCAGCGAGTGAGATCAAGGAGCTGGATAACTTCCTGCAGCGCCTGCTCTTCTTCCCGCACCTACTCGACTACCCCAGTACGTTGGCTGGTTGGTACAAGATTCTTTCTGCTTGTGGTATTCATGCATTTTGAGACGTCTCAGGAGGGACAGGGAAGTGTCGGCCAATGAGATGAAGGAGCTGGAAAGCTTCCTGCAGAGCTCCTGATCACTCTGTTGTGACTTGAACTTGCAGCAGCAGGCGGCATTCATTCCTTCATACAATTGCAGGAGTCTGTTCAGATGCATCAGTGGTGTGGGTCACATCAGTGGTGTGGGTCACATCAGTGGTGTGGGTCACATCAGTGGTGTGGGTCACATCAGTGGTGTGGGTCACATCAGTGGTGTGGGTCACATCAGTGGTGTGGGTCACATCAGTGGTGTGGAGAAAGACGCGTCCTTCGTCTAGGACGCTTGGATCCAGACGCAGCGTCTTAGACGCAGGACGCTAGATGAGGGCCTTTAGGACGCATGAAAAGACGCATGCCCGGGCAGGGCCAAAAAAACCCCCGGGCAGCTGAAAAAAAAGTTGTAGGGCTTGGGAAGGGGGGGGGGAGACCTTTGCACACATTCAAAGGATGGTTGGAGGAAGCCATTACGAAGGAGAATTGGGGTTGTGAATGGAGGGAGCACAAATGAGATGTGTGCAACCCTAAATGGGTTTGGTTGGAGGCCACAAAGGTTGGATGTTCTAGATGTAGAGTAGTTGGGTGGGTTGGGTTGGGGGCTTTACAAATTTGTGTTGAGGGGTTTGAAGTTGGGGGGGGGGGGGGGGGGGGGGGGCTGTTTTCAATGTCGAGTTGCTTTTGGGGGGTCGTTTTTTCACGAAATTGACATTCGCGTCGAATTCGTGAATGTCAATTTCGCGTTTCGGGATTTTCCGGGGCAGACCGAAACAAAAAACAGGGTGCGTCCTGCGTCTCTGCGTCCGGACGCTGCGTCCAGACGCAGGACGCAGCAGGACTCGCGCGTCTTTCTCCACTAAGCTTCTCTCCTTTGAAAACCTGCCCCTCCATTCAAGTTCTCTCTCTTTCTACTCCTGCTGCCTTCGTCCCCTTTACAAGACGCCTTGCTGCAGGTTACAGACCTCTCCTTCCTGTGGCTGCGGGAGTCGTTTCTAGACCCAGCAGCAACGGCACAGGTCCCTCTCTCGGCCAGCCTCCCGTGGGTGCTCACTCTCTCCGCTCTCCAACACACCACCAATAGCACCAATAGCAGCAGCAGCGGTGGTGGCAGTGGTAGTAGCAGCAGCAGTGTCACTGTTGATTCTGCTACGGGAGAAGCGAGCTCTGCAGATGGCGGCAGTGCTGCTGGGGCTGGGGATTCTGCTGCTACTGCTGCTGCTACCACTGCTGGTGCTTCTACTGCTGCTGCTGCTGCTGGTGCTGCTGCTGGTGCTGCTGCTGGTGCTGCTGCTGGTGCTGCTGCTGGTGGTGCTGGTGGTGCTGGTGGTGCTGGTGCTGGTGGTGCTGGTGCTGGTGGTGCTGGTGGTGCTGCTGGTGGTGCTGGTGGTGCTGCTGGTGGTGCTGGTGGTGCTGCTGGTGGTGCTGGTGGTGCTGCTGGTGGTGCTGCTGCTGGTGGTGCTGCTGGTGGTGCTGGCGTGACGGGGACCCCGTGGGCGCCATCGCTACCAGACGCAGTGCTGCTGCCGTTCACCATCTATGACGATGCAGCTGATGCGGCTCTTCGGTCGCTCAAGAGGCAGTTCCTCTTTGATGAGGTGGAGGCGGAGGTGAGAGAGAAGCAAGGTGTGTGAGTGCAATGATTCGATATGTATGCTGCTGGTGGTCTTGGCTGTGTGACGGGCGTCCCGTGGGCGCCATCGTAACCCCACAACGTCTGCTGCCTTTCCCCATCTACGATGATGCGGCTGATGCGGCTCTTCGGTCGCTCAAGAGGCAGTTCCTCTTTGACGAGATGGAGGCAGAGGTGAGAATGGGAGGGAAAGGGTGATGAGGGCTGGGGGTGCTGTTGGTGGTGCTGCCGGTGGTGTGACAGGGCACTCTTGGGCATCGCTACCAGATGCAGTGCTGCTGCCGTTCTCCTTTTATGATGATGTAGTTCATGTGGCTCTTCGGTCGCTCAAGAGGCAGTTCCTCTTTTATGAGGTGGAGGCGGAGGTGAGGACGAAAGGCAAGAGGTGTGGGGGCAGTAAATTGCACTATGTCTCTTGCACAATGCGTATCCCATGCTCTCCTCTGCCCCAAAAGGCATCCTATGCTCTCTCCTTCTCAACCTCATATTGGCTTCCGATGACCATCCCACATGCTCCATCCATCCCATCCCACCCACCCATCTATCACATCAGGTGGGAGTGGCATTCGACCAGCTGCTGGAAAAGCTGGCACTGGCCATCTTCACCCACTTCAAGCAGTGTGCCGCCAGGTGAGTCAGTCAGGGACTACCGGGTGACTTAGGGTCTGAAGAGAATGGGCACGGTCATGATCAGAACTCTTGAGTCGAGACGTCTCATGACATTTCCACCCACTGAGTGAGTCAGGGGCAGCGAGGGAAAGGATGTAGCCCCGGTTGAAAGTTGAATCCTGAGCAACTTGGTTTGGTGAAGGTGCCATGTGATGCAGACAAGACAGATACAGAGCATGCCTCCACCTTGTATGTAACAGTGTATGTTTTTTTAGAATTCTCAAAAAACATACACTGTGTTGCAGACAAGATACAGAACATGCCTCCACCTTGTATGTAACCGACTCAGCTGTTCCTTTCGGCACCTTTCTCCTTGGGTGTGGGAGGGTCGGTTGCACATCCGCTTGCTCCTGCCCTTCTTTGCTTCCCGCACCCTTTCCTTGCAGCAAGCTGCTGGACAAGTCGTTTGTGGCGGCAGCAGCAGCCCTGGGCGTGGGAGGGTCCGTGACACTCCGGTTTCCTCCTTCCCTCCTTGCTTCACATCCCCCCATCCCCCACCCAACGGTGCCGTTCCTCCTTGCTTCTCCATCATGCAGCAAGCTGCTGGACAAGTCGTTTGTGGCGGCAGCGGCAGCGCTGGGCGTGGGAGGGACGTACAGCGTGACTCCATGCAGCTACAGCGGGCTGTTGCGCCAAACGCACCTGCAGGTGGGTGGGGTGGCTTTGGGGTCGACTCAAGGGTTAACCTCGAACTGGGTCAGCCAGTGTCGTGTCGTGTCGCCCCCTTGCAACCAACCCACGTGCCCAGTCTATCTTGAAGCGCAGCCCGGCATGAGCCTGTCTCGGCCAGGTTTGATGTGTGCCCACGGCCAGTGTAGTGTCAGATGGACACGTTGGATGTCAGAATTCTGAACATGTTGTGTCACTCATTTGAAATTCGCTGGGTTCAAAACGCAGCAAGCCTACTAAGAGTAACGATCTGTAGTACTAGTATACTAATATGAAAATCGAGGGAAGTAGTGAGAAAAGGTCTACTAATCAGAAAGCCAGACACATAGGCCCGGATGCGCGTGCGAACGCGGCCAGTGTAGTGTCAAATGGACACGTTGGATGCCAGAATTCTGGACATGTTGTGTCACTCATCTCTCCTCTCCGCACTTCATCCCCCGCTGTCCCCACTCGCCCCACCCATCCCATCCTCCCGTTGCTGCACAGCTATTGGGCCGCACTGTGGACATGCGGGACCTGCTGACTCAGCGGCTGAACAAGCTGACGAGGCACAACCTGGATTATATCCTTGCCCGCATGGAGGGGGCAGATCTCTGCCACATCATGGTGAGTGTGTGACGTGGCTCATGTGTGTGTGTGTGGCTGTTTTGATGTCGAGAGGTGTCGAATTTCACATGGCAACTTGTGTGTCGTGTGTGTGAGATTTGAGCCGGCCCAATATTTACGTCAATTCTGGGGTTGTATGTGTGTATGCGGTGTGTGTAACGGCGTCGTTGGGACTGCGAATCATGAGCTTGTGCGTTTGATCATGTATCGTTTGACTGCAACGTCTGGTTCACTGGCCGCATTCTCCCGTTTGATGAGTCGATTTTTGAGTCGACTCAAAAATCGACTCATCTGATTCACTGACCGCATTCTCCCGTTTGAGAATTCTCTGAAGTGAGCAGCACTTCTGCATCCCAGTAGGATCCTATGAGGAAAGATCAGATCTGAGCCGTTTTTAACATCAAATCAAGGTGCAGGTAGGGAACGGAACACCTCACGAGCTCGTATGGTAGGGATTGCCTCACAAGCTTTCCTACTCGCTTTGTACTCTTTCTGTTTACCTCCACCCCTGCCTGCAGGAGACGCATCACCTGCTGGACGTCCTACGTGGCGCACACCGATTGGTCGCAGAGCACTGCCCTGCCATTGACTCCTTTGAAGCCATTTTCACCGAGGCCACCCACGCCACCTCCCTCTCCTCACTCTCTTCCCGCACTGCCGCTTATGTAAGTGCCATTCCAATCCAATATCACCACCCACGCCAATATCACCGAGGCCACCCACGCCACCTCCCTTTCCTCTCTCTCCTCCCGCACCGCCTCCTATGTAAGTGGCCTATACAACGGCCTTTCTAAGCATTCCCAACGCGTTTCCAGCACTGCCCTTCCAGGGTCATGCCCCCTCTCATCAACTCCTTTGAGGTCATCTCGCCCTCACCCACCCACGCTACGTCCCTCTCCTCGCTCTCCTCCCGCACTGCCGCTTATGTAAGTGGCAGGCATTGGCATCATGACACGGCCCTTTTCAGCACTCCCATAGCACTTCCATCACCACTGCTAGCCGAGTCCACTCTCATCCACTCCTTTGAACCCATCTCCACCGGCCAAGGCCACCCACGCCACCTCCCTCTCTCCTCCCTCTCCTCCCGAATGGGGTTTGAGTGCGCTGTTTCTAGCCCCCCATCGCCTTTCCGGCACTGCTCTTCCATAGCCTAGCTCCCTCTTATAAACTCGTTGAAGTTGTTTTCACTGAGGCCGCCCATGCCACCTCCCTCTCTTCCATTCCATCTCCTTCCGTGCTGCCCACTATGTTTGAGGGCTTTGATTTTACACTTTCTTGCACTGCCGTTCCGTAGCCTAGTGGCTAGCCCCCTACAATTGACCCTTGCCCTCACCTTTCGCTCCTTTCCCTCCTCGCCTTCCTGTTTCCCGGCTTTCAAATGTTTCCCATCTTTCGCGCGTCATTTTGACTTTTTGAGTCGACTCAAAAGTCTCTCCCTCCTGTTTCTCGGCTTTCACATATGTTTCCCATCTTTCACATGTTTCCCATCTTTCACATGTTTCCCATCTTTCACGTGTTTCCCAACTTTCACATGTTTCCCAACTTTCACGTGTTTCCCAACTTTCACATGTTTCCCATCTTTCGCGCGTCATTTTGTTTGCGAAATCCATTGACCTGCAAGGTCTTATTCACGCCTCTCAACTGAATCACCCCCCATTCTCGCACACTCGGTCCACAGGTGTGCAGAGAGGTGGAGCAGGATGTGCTTCCCAACTTCCTCTGGAACTCCACCACCCGCCGCTTTGTGTGGGTCGCCTCCCCGCTGCACCTGCAGCAGCGCCCCGTGCAAAGACCTGCAGTTCACCTGCCTTCTCCAGAGGTGTATGAAGCCTTCATGTTTGGAAACAAGGTGCGGTGAGAGAGATGCCACTGGACGCGTGCCTTGTGTTGATTAAAACAGCGCCCCATGCGGAGACCTGCAGTTCACCCGCCTGCTCCACAGGCGTACGAAGCCTTCATGTTTGGAAACAAGGTGCGGTGAGAGTTATGTGCTTCTCTTCTCCAGTGGCGGTGCTGTGCATGCTGCATGGCACATGCCTTCATCACTCACACGTGCCACATGCTGCATGGCACATGCCTTCATCACTCACACGTGCCACATGCTGCATGGCACATGCCTTCATCACTCACACGTGCCACATGCTGCATGGCACATGCCTTCATCACTCACACGTGCCACATGCTGCATGGCACATGCCTTCATCACTCACACGTGCCACATGCTGCATGGCACATGCCTTCATCACTCACACGTGCCACATGCTGCATGGCACATGCCTTCATCACTCACACGTGCCACATGCTGCATGGCACATGCCTTCATCACTCACACGTGCCACATGCTGCATGGCACATGCCTTCATCACTCACACGTGCCACATGCTGCATGGCACATGCCTTCATCACTCACACGTGCCACATGCTGCATGGCACATGCCTTCATCACTCACACGTGCCACATGCTGCATGGCACATGCCTTCATCACTCACACGTGCCACATGCTGCATGGCACATGCCTTCATCACTCACACGTGCCACATGCTGCATGGCACATGCCTTCATCACTCACACGTGCCACATGCTGCATGGCACATGCCTTCATCACTCACACGTGCCACATGCTGCATCGCAGCTCCTGGCATGCCATTGTGTGCTGTTTCCTTGATGTATGTCATTGAATTGCGTGCTTGGAGGTCGTTCCAGAACTCATCGAATGCGGTTAAAATCGATGCCAATGAGTGCCGGTCGTCCCTATGCCTTCTTATGCCAATGCATGCTATGTTTTGCCCGCACGCGCCACGACTCGATCGATGCAGACTCTCACATCTTCCTGCTGCACTCACAATCCCTAAGCTGGGCACACGTGTGGATGCTCTAGTGCCTCTGAGTTGACTCACGAATGAACACTCATACCAATAGTTGTAACTTGTTCCTGCATGTCCTTCCTCCCCCTTCCACACCAGGATCTCAGCAAGACCTACTCGCACATTTGCCTGTTGAACTTGCAATTTCTGGGGCAACCGCACGTGCATGCTCTGGTGGCGCTGCTGGGCCCGCACTCCCATTGTCTGTAAACGACCCCCTGGCCCCCCCACCCCACCGACACCAGGATCTGAATGAGGCCTATGCGCACATCTGTGTGCTGCACGCGCAGTTCATAGGGCAGCCGCATGTAGATGCTGTGGTGGCACTGCTGGGCCCGCACTCTCTGCCCATGCTGCTGCAGTTCTGCCTTGACTCCCTCTCCCACAAGGTATGTGGTGCTGACTATAGGTTGCTCTCAGTGGATTGCGCACATCTGTATGCTGCACGCGCAGTTCCTGGGGCAGCCGCACGTGCATGCTCTGGTGGCGCTGCTGGGCCCGCACTCCCTGCCCATGCTGCTGCAGTTCTGCCTTGACTCCCTCTCCCACAAGGTGCGTGGCTCTGCGTACGGTTTGCTTGCAGCAGGGTGCTCACGTGTGCCGAAGAACCATAGGATACTCTCACGAGTACGCATGCAATCTCACTCACCCCTAGGGTCGCACTCCCTCCTAGTTGACTTTTGAGTCGACTCAAAAGTCAACTTGCTTGCAGCAGGGTGCTCACGTGTGTCGAAGAACCATAGGATACTCTCACGAGTATGCATGCAATCTCACTCACCCCTAGGGTCGCACTCCCTCCTATTGCTGCTGCAGTTCTGCCTAAGCTCCCTCATCCCCAGGAATTGTGCGTGCGTGCCGTGCATGTTGGCGTGCGTGCGTGCGTGCGTGCGTGTGCAACTACTGCTACGCTAGTTCTGCTACATGTACTGAATCCCTTCCCATGCTTAGTCCAGTTCTGCCTTGTCGCTCTCACCCGTAAGGCGTGTCGCTTGGGCTTTGGATTGCTGATCAACTTCTTGTGTTATCGACAAGCCTGATGTGCTTTGACTTGACTTGCGTTGACCTCTTGTTTCCGTCCCCTGTGTGTTGACTTTGACTCACGCTGCCTTTTGATAGAATTGGAACTGAACTGATTGATTGATAAGGAAGGCACTAGGCCTTAAGTACAAACATGGTTGGGTTGAGCAAAACTAGGGAAAGGATGGGATGGGAATCCTAGCAAATCTCCAATTGGTGAGTTGGCAGATTTGCAGGATTACGAGGGAATCCCAACCAGATAGGGTTGGGATTACAAATCTACACCCAACCTACAAACTAACCTAACCGATATAGAATACAGTACAAAGTGTTGACTGACTATTTCCAACACACCCCCTAGGCTGACAACACTTCAGCCACATGGTGGCCCAACACCCATGGACAAGAGGAGGCGGTAGTGGTCTTGGCGAAGAAGAGACTTGGTAAACAAGTCAGCAAGGTTGCAGTCGGAGGCAATGTGTTCAGCCTTCAGCTGCTCGCGCTGCACCAGCTCACGAAGAAAGTAGTGACGGACCTCAATGTGCTTGGTGCGGCCGTGGAAGACGGGGTCCTTTGTGAGATGAATGGTGCTTCCGTTGTCACACCAAAGCGTTGGGGCTGGTTGAGGATACCCAAGTTCTGCCAGTAAGAAGGAGAGCCAACGGGCCTCCTGGGCAGTCATGGTCCCGGCATACAACTCTGCCTCACAGGTCGACAGTGAGACGGAGGACGACCGAGTGGAGTGCCAACTGACAACCCCACTGCCAAGGGTAAAGCAATACCCTTGGGAAGAGCGCCGATCACTCTGGTCATCAGCATAGGACGAGTCACTGTACCCCTCAAGGCGAACAGGGGAAGAGCCGACAAGAGTGAGCACATAGTCCTGTGTGCCTTTGAGATAGCGGAGGACCCGCTTGGCGGCAGACCAGTGGTGGCTCGTGAAGCGACCAGGTGCAACGTAGTGAGACAGGACACTGACTGGATAGGCCAAGTCTGGTCGAGTGCACATCATCGCGTACATGAGGGAACCGACGAGCTCGGGGTAAGCCTCATCACAGGGCTCAGGTGGGGGAACAGAGGGTGCAGTGAGTTGGTGTTGCAGAGAGAGTGGGGTGGGCATTGAAGCTGCTTCCTGCATCTTGAACCTGGTCAGAACATTGTTGATGTAGAACTTCTTCGAGAGGGTGATGGTGCGGACCGTGCAATCACGTGTGATTTCCATGCCCAGATAGTTTGTCAGCTTCCCAAGATCCTTCATGGCCAGCTTCTCACCAAGTGCGGTTTTGACTGCTGCCAGCTCAGTCTGATCCTTGGTGACAAGGATCATGTCATCGACATAAACCAAGATGAAGAAGCAGGATGGTGTTGCTCGGATGAAAAGGCTGGGGTCAGAGGTGGATGGGTGAAAGTCGAGGGACCCTAAGGTGCTCTTGAGCTTGTTGTGCCATTCCCGGGGTGCTTGCTTGAGGCCATAGACTGGTCGATTCAGCTTCCATACAGTGCCTGGTGTAAAGGGAGCTGGAAATCCTTCGGGCCGCTCCATGTAGATTTCCTCTCGAAGGATCCCTTGCAGAAATGCAGAGGACACATCCATGCAGTCAACCTCCATGTCATCTCGAGCGGCAACATCAAGAAGGGTGCGCCGTGTGGGAGGTTTGGCGGTGGGAGAGAATGTCTCAAAGAAGTCCAGTCCATGCTTTTGGGTAAATCCCTTGGCACAGTACCGGGCTTTGAAGACGGGAAACTCGCCTGGAAGTTGTTTCACCCGGAAAAACCATTTTCCCTTCACTATGGAGGGAGCAAAGACATCTATGAAAGTTCCTGTGTGAATGAAGGCCTCACACTCTGCGACAATGGCCCCTAGCCACTGAGCGGCGTGAGGACCAGAAACTGCTTCAGCATAGGTGAGAGGTGTGGGGATGGAGGGGTTGTCCGAGAAAGTTGAGGGTGGGAGATTCTGCGATATCTGGAAAGAGGGAGCAGAGTGCGTGTATGACTGAGTCAATCTCAATCAACTAATCATGCCTGTCCTCAAGAAGGGAGGGCATGAGCGAATAATCACCCCCGACAGGAGGAGGATTGAGAGAGACACGAATGGAAAGGGAAAGAGGCTTGGGAGCTTTATGCGAGCGGGTGCGACTAGCGATGGGGGAGGGAGGCGGAGCTGGAGGAGGAGAAACAGCAGGTGTAGTGGCAGCATCAGGAACAGCAGCTGGATCAGGAGCAGGAGCCAGATCAGGAGGAGGAGGAGCAGCAGGAGGTCGGCGGTGGTAGGTTTTGAGAGGAAAGGGCTCGGGGCGGGAAGGAGCGGGGGAGACAGCGTGGTGCTGGATGGGGAAGCGGGTGACGGGGGGTCGGAAACTGTGGAGGGAGCGGGAAGAGGAGGAGATGGAGTGGTGGCAGGAGGAAGGCTGTCAAAGTCAGCCCAAGTAAGAGAGGGAGGCAGAGGAGAAGGAGAAACTGTGGAGGAGGGGTAGAATGGGTGGGATTCACCGAAGAAAACATCTCGGCTGCGATAGAGTTTGTTGGTGGGAGGATGGAGGAAGAGGTAGTCTGGCGAGTCCGAGTTGTGCCCGAGGTACACGCACGTGATTGTTTTCGGAGCAAGCTTGCCGCCAACTGCACGACGGGCTTGGGAGTTGAGGAGGACATAAGAAGTGCACCCCCATATACGAAGAGGGCGGACGGACGGCTTTTGACCCGTCCATAGCTCTGCGGGGGTGGTGTGGGTGTGGTGAGGATGAGGATGGAGATTGTGGAGGGCGGCAGCATGGAGCATGGCGTATCCCCAAAGAGAGGGAGGGGCGGAAGCATGAGTGAGGAGGCAGCGAGCAATCTGCACCAGGATGCGGTTTCGGCTCTCAGCAACACCGTTCTGTTGAGGGCTGTCTGGGAGAGTGAAAGTCTGACGAATACCCTCAGTAGAGCAGAAAGATTTGAGTGTTGTTGCGGAACTCACCGCCACCGTCAGAGTGAAGAATCTTGATTTTGGTTTTGAAGTGTGAATGAGCCTGCCTGGCCCATTCCATGATGATGGCTGGGGCTTCAGACTTGGCGGTGAGAAGGTGAACGGACACATAGCGGGAATAGTCATCAACGATGACAAGGAAGTAGAAGTGTCCGCCACGGGAACGAACAGGAGCTGGACCCCAAAAGTCCATGTGTACGCGATCTGTTGAAATGAACGAACAGGAATGATTGAACTAACAGTGAAATCAGTACAAGTACCTAACCCTAAAATTGTGTACCCCCTATAGGCTAACCCACTGTAGCCTAAACAAGCACAACATATATAATGTTTGACACACCCCCATAGGCGAAGTGGGGGAGAACTAGGGGTCACAAGATCAGTCAAGTAAAGCAAAGCAAATCAAACTCAGGGTGGATCACAAAGTCACCACACATTCCGAGCACAAGTTCAAGGCCACAAGGCCAGTTCACATGCAGGAGTACATATATATATAAGGCTAGACAAACAAGAGCAGGCATATATGTATGTAACAGTACAAGCAAGATCAAGAGGTGAGCAAGTGAGGCAAGACTGGTACAAGACCCAGCTGGGTGCAGAAGCACTGATGATCACAAGGCGCAAGTGCCTTGGTGAAAACATCAGCAGTGTTGGCCTCAGAGGCCACGTACGCAAGCCGCAACTGACCACGCTGCTGTAGCTCACGAGCAAGGAAGTAGCGGAGAGCAATGTGCTTTGTTCTGTGCTCCAGTCTCTGCTCTCGACACAAGGCCAGCATGGCCTTGTTGTCTACGTACAGGACTGGAGGAGAACGAGGCGGCTCTCCAAGGTCGGTCAGCAGGTAGATGAGCCAGCGAAGCTCCTGAGCAGCCATGGCCCCTGCGTAGATCTCAGCCTCACAACTGGAGCCGAGAACAGAAGACGAGCGAGTAGCCCGCCACGAAACAGAGCCGGAACCAAGGCTGAAGGTGTAACCCTGTGACGACCGCTGCGTAGCCTGGTCGTCAGCCCAAGAAGCGTCTGCGTGACCAGTGAGGACCACTGAACTCCGCCCTCCAAGCACTAGCCCCATGCCCGACGTACTGCACAAGTAGCGCAACACCCTCTTCGTTGCAGCCATGTGCTCTGGTCTGTGTCTCCCAGGAGCAACATAGCGTGCAAGAATGCTAAGAGGGTATGCAAGGTCAGGTCGTGTGCAGGTCATCAGGTACATGAGGCAGCCAACAAGCTCTGCAAACGGGCCACTCGACTCTACGGACTCATCCGAAGGCAGAGCTGAGAGCGAGTGGCGAGTAGGCAGAGGAGTGGCCTGAGGCGAGGAGTACGTGAAGCCGAAGCGCTGAAGGACCTGCTGCACCATGTGTGACTGAGTCAGGGTGATGGTGCGACGTGCTCTGTCCCGGGTGATCTGCAAGCCAAGGTAGCTGCGCAGTTCACCCAGGTCTGTGCACGTGTGCCTCTTCTGCAGCTCGGACTTCACGTAGGCGAGTCCAGCAGTGTCAGCTGTGGCAAAGACCAAGTCGTCGACGTACACGAGGATGTAGAACGGCG